CTAGACTATGGTGGGGCAACACATAAATCAATGTGCATTTCTCTCCACCTTTCCACCCCACTGGGGCCAGGTGACTGATGACTATCCCGTGAAAGCATGCAAGAAGTAGAAAAGAGCAGGTTAAAACATTAACCCGTTAAGATTAAAAGCATAATCTAAGAACACAAAAAGAATCAGCCCATCAGGACAAAAGCCTATTATGGAATTCACTGCTACGGGAGGTCGGGATGGCCACCCATCTAGATGGCTTTAAAAAGGGGCTGGAGAACTGCTCACCAGCAGAGATGGCCGGTGGCCACTTGCTGCCGCCTTTCCCGGGTGTGGCCTGCGGTCGCTGTGGAGCTTGGGCAGGGGGAGGTCTTGCACCCCTCCCGCTGGAGGGGCCTGTGGGCAGCCCTTGGCCTGCTCCAACTCACTTTCCTTCTTATTACTTGTCACCCTTGCATGCCACCCCCTAGTCAAAGACTCTCTGGGCAGCTCACAGTGTGCAGTATAAATATATTTAAAATACAGATAAGAATAACAATAAGAAACAAAACCATAAAATGTAGTAAAATGAAAATACATTATAAATACAACCTTATAAAGAGGAGAAACGTAAAGACAATATGGCCAAGAACAGTAACCAATAGAACAGTAAACCAGCAGCGAACCAGTGATCCAATCTGAGAACAGACACTGCATAAAAATCGACCTGAGGTTCCTCCAGAACTGGGCACACAGGTGGGCAGAGGCGCATGGGCAAATCCTTCCTCCAGGGGAGGAAGACTCTTCCAGGGCACCTGGCAGGTGTGTTTCTGAGGATTTTATTTAAAATGCCGGCTTCCCGATGGAGCCCTTCCTTGGGCAAGCGAGCGCAAGAGGGGCAGCCCTTCTGGCTGAGCAAAACCAGGGAGCCCGACTCCCGACTCCGAGGCCCAGAGAGAGATGCGAGAGAAGAGCGGAGGGCGGCTGCGTTTCCTCGCTACTTCCCCATTCATTACAGGGGCCAGCCCAGCCGGGTCCTGGTTCATAGAGTTGTTTTAATGCGGGGGGGATGGAAAGCATTTGTGAATCTGGAAAAATTCGAACTTGGGGGAGAATACATCACACACTGACTGAACATGCCCTTGCACAATGCCACATCTTTTACAGAAAGCAGCAACACGCCGATATCCTGGCTGTGCCTGATGGCCAACTTTCCACGTCTTTAAAAACTGCTCTGCACAGTGTCGGCCGGACCGCTGGCGACCCCGTGGCCGTGCCTCCGCCGGCCTGCACTCTGCCCCACCTGGCAGGCCGGCCACCTGCGGCCATCGCCGGAGCTGCCCTTTCCACGGCAGCGTTGCGCTCGGCCGGTGTGTGGATGGAGCCCTCGGGGTTCTGGAGGCGGCCTGCAGCTTCGCCAGAGCCGGCTCTGTGCACTTGGCTCCATCGGAGAACAAAGCCCCTGGGCCCGGGCTGATCAGGGACTCGTGACAAACGGGACACGGAGAATCAGCTGCTTCCCAGCGGTGGGGGTGCTTCGATTTTCCTTCTCTCGTTACCTCTCCGCACTCACTCAAGTGCGCCCTTTGACACTCGGTCTGTGCTCCTCCCTTTGACCAGGATATGCCCTCTGGGAAGATCCTGGAGGAGGCAGCATGCAGGGAGGAGCAGAGGCAGCGGAGGAACAGCGGTGTGGTGATACGCTGGACCTGCAGGCTCTCGAGACAGTCCTGCAGCCGTGCGCCCACGAGCCCTCCTGGCCACTGATCTCTGTGCCTGCTACTTCTGCAGACGCTCCACGAAACGGCAGTTCTGAGCTTAATTCCAGATTCCCGGCAGGCAACGCGTGAGAAGCCAGTAAAGGGAAGCACGGCCGATGGAAGCAGAAAGTAAAAGCAAAACTGAGAAGGAAGCAAAGTATGTCTGACTTTGAGAGCTGAGATTCCATAGACAGAGACAGGCTTAAGGGGTTCCTGAAGAGCAATGCGGAGCAAGAGCCTAACAGCAGACTCCCACCCATGTTCCCCAGCCACTTGGGCACCTGAGGACACTGCCGTGGATCCTGGCAGCTGCACATCACTATCAAAGCTAAAAGCCACGGCTAGATAGCCTTTTTCTGGGGATCCCCCCCCCCCCCCCCCCCTTCTGAAGCCATCCAAAACAGTGGCGCCTTTACTGCATCCTGGGGCAGCGAATTCCAAGGTTTGCCTGTGCACAGTGTGACGTTCCAGGAGTCTCTTTCCTCAGCTGCAAGGAGAAAAAGTGTCAGCTTTCCCACCCGAGGCATTCATGGTGTGATTGCAGTTTGGGAGCGCTTTGCATGACAATGTCTATAGCCATCCCCCAGGGCCTCTCCTGTACTTTGCAGCCATTTTACTGGTGTGGCCTTTTGTTTTTTTAAAGAGGAAGGCATCAAAAGTGCATTTGGGCCATTCCGCTCTTCCACTGAGCTACCAGGTGCGTAGGTAATGGAACAGGTAAAGACACAGACTCCTGGGGAAAATACTTGTAAAGGAGGCAGTTTTGATCCTGCCAGCAACCCAAAGGGGAAGTCATGGTTGAAAGCGCAGAGTTCATTTCCACCAGCAGCAGCTCTCTTGTGAGCCTGATGGATTCTCAATCCCCCCTCCAAGTCCAAGGCTTCCTCAAATGCGGTGGATTGCAACAGCCAGCTCAATGGTGCTTTTGCTGGGGAACAAACCCATAATGGTTTTGCTGGAAAATCCATTTCTTCCTCAGGTGCAGGAGTCCAGCCAAGCTCAGAAAGAACAGGGAAGTGGAACGGGCAGGTGGCGGGCAGGTGGCCTGCTGATCAAACAGTCACTGTGCTTCCACCCTGCGAGCCCCTGGTCCTTTCCTTTACACCGTGGCAGAATAATTTTAGAAGTTCCTCACTCTGCAGAGTGCTGACAGAAGAGCTTTTAGGTGCTTCAGGAATGGTTAAGCCAGCCTTTCCCAAACCAGATGTGACTTCAGCTCCCATCATCCCCAGACAACATGCCCATGCGGCATTCCACTATGGATGATGGGGTTCACTGTCCAACAACCCTTCGCTGATAGAAGAAACCATCCAGCCAGTCCTGAGGTGCCCCTGATGGTTAAGTGAGACACGGGGCTGATGACTGCAGTTAAGAATTCTTGGGAATTAATTGATAATTTCAATTAATTGAAATTAATTGAGACCCAGTGTGGTGTAATGGTTAAGGGCATGGGACTGGGACTCAGAAGATCTGGGTTCGGGTCCCCGCTCAGCCATGGAGCCAACTGGGTGGCTTTGGGTCAGTCACAGACTCTCAGCCCAACCTACCTCACAGGGTTGTTGTTGTGGGGATAAGATGGAGGAGGAGAAGGATGCAAGCTGCCTTGAGCTCTTTGTAGGAAAGAGGCAGGATATAAATCGCAATATAAATAAATAAATTTCATCACATTTTAAAAGCAAGGTCCCTGCTCTTTGGCAGGGCTCAAGGGCAAAACAGAAGTTGAAATGTGACTGCAGTTGAAAAGTAAATGCAAATTTAAAGCTTCAAATTTAAGTCAAACTTAAAATTGAAAAAGGAAGCAGGTTAGGTTTCCAAGGTCTGGCGAGGCTCACCACAGTAACAAGGAGTTTGCTGAGAGTAAAAGGAACCAGAGATAACAGGCCCTTAAAGTGCATTCGATCAATGAAATATTTCTTGTGCATTTGGCACGGGCTGGGATATGATCGACCGAAATTGGACAAAGCTCTAAAATTATGGGCAGCTATGAAACTGCGGTAGTTTTCACAGTGGAAGGCACCACGGGTGAGACTGTAACGGAGTAAATGGCTCGGAAACAGGCGCCACCATCACCCGCGCAAATCCTGGTTTTTCTGACTCAGCCGGCCAATAACGCTTAAAAAACCGGAGGGGCAATCTTAGCCCGGCGCTTGCAATTAGTACAGAGGAACTAACCTACCTGGGCATAGTTATGCAAACAAAGAGTGAAAAAGTGATCTTATCTCACTGATGCTGATAAGTGGGTGATAAAATAAATAATGCGGGGGTTGGGGCAGCGGTGATCTTCTGACTCACATTCTTGCTACTTTCTGTTCCCTCTACGGCGGTGCTCAAAATTTCCATACTCCCGCACCAAGTAAATGGGTCTATTAAAATGGTTTAACAGACTACTTAAACAAGTGGCCAATTGAACTATTGTAATCCCTCTGTATCCCTGCGATGGAGCAATTCCTGTAGCCACGAGAGCCAGAAACCGGTCTATTCCGTTTCCTCGAGGTAGCAAATTCTACGCAGGTGGAGTCCTGGCTCGCATCCTCTGCAGCCGCCACGGTGCAAAGCATGCCCGTTTGCACTGAGCCACACGAGAACTCGGCAGATTCTCGGGGGGGGGGGGTCGGGTCGTGCCGTGCCGTGCCGCCCCGCGTGCGAATCGTGCAAAGGATCTGCGCCATTCCGGCGAGGCAGGATTTGGTGGCGCGAGGCAAAAGCCGTTTCTGCGACGAGTTTCCGCCGGCGGCTTTCCAAGCTCCCAAATCACGCTGTTTTTAAAACGCGGAGAAATAGGAGCGCCTGGAAATGTTCTGCGCTAGCGCCTCCGAGCGACCGTTACGCGGGGGGGGGGCGGGGGAGAGAAGCGGCTCTGCCGGCGCGGCGGGGAGTGCGAGCGCGGAGGACGCGCCCCGGCACCGCCAGCAGGTCAGGCGCGCCCGCGGCTGCGCGGACTCCCCGGCGCTGCTGGGCGGGGACGGCCGAGGCCCGGGGCTGCAGGTGGGGGGCTGCGCGCAGCGAGGCCGCGGCTCCGCTCGCCCCCGCCCCGCCCCGGCCCGGCCCGAGGGTGGGACTTCGGACGCGGCCCCGCCAGGCGGGAGCCGCAGGCGCGCCGGAAGGGTTAAATACCTGCGCGTCTCCCGGGCTGCTCGCCTGGCTCCACCTCGGGCGGGGGACGCCCGGTGGGCGCGGGAGGAGCGGCGGCGGCGGAGAGCGCAGGCGGGCGGGCAGGCAGCAGGCAGGCAGCGGCCCCGCCGCCCAGCGCAGCCCAGCGCAGCGCAACGCAACGCGCGCCCTTCCCGCCGCAGCGGCGCCGGCGCGCGCCCAGCATGTTCCAGTGGTAAGTGGCGCGTGGCGCGTGGCGCGGGCGCGTCCCGGTCCGGTCCCGGTCCCGGTCTGAGCGCGGGTCCCCGCGCCGCCTGCAGCTGGGATGGGGACGGAGAGGACGCCAACTCCTGCTCCCGGCGCGGCGCCTTTAGCCCCTTTCTTGGAGCAGAGCGGCCGCGGATGATGGGAGTCGCAACCCTGCCCCTCCGGAAGCTCCGGCGGCCGCCGCGTCTTCTTTTGGAAGAAACTTCTCGGGAAAACTCCGCTCATCCTCCGAGATCCTGCGCTAAAACCAGTAACCGGGCGTTTCTTTCAGGGTGCAGAAGGACGTTTCCAACTTTTGTGGCCGACGCAGAGCTGTCGTAATGGGTGTTTGGGGGGTTTTTTCTTCTTCTTGGTGTGCTTGTGGCTTTTGATGTAGTTAGATTGTTTCTTTAAGGGGTTGCATGGCGAAAGAGCCAGCAGAGCAAAATTGCTCTGATGCTCCTTTTTAAACGTGGCTCTCAAGTCTTTGGATTGCAACCCTGAATTTGCTTGCTCGGAGTTTTGTCGTAGGGAGGCTGTATTCCGAAATAAATGAGCTGATGTGATGTTCCAGGAAAGACCAAGCCCGTCCTGTAATAATCAGTAGGAATCGCTCGTAAGTAACCTGGCTTGGGTTCAAATCCTTGCACAGCTGTGTAGTCCAATGGCTTGAACCTCTCGACCTAACCTACCTCGCAGGGTTGTTGTGAGGATAGTCATTGGGGGGATCCATGCCCAACACCTTGGAAGAATTGGGTAGAAATATGGTACCGTTTGTTGCTTAGAGCAGGGATTGTACAGAGAGCCGTCTTGGGCTCGGCTTAAGACTAGGCTCTTGCTGGTCTCATTTACCGACGAAAAGAGCACACCCTGAACCTGTTAACACAAAAACACCACTGATGTGTGCTTTTCTGTGTTGCTTTGTTTGCAAGAACCTCATCAGACCCTGAGGCCCACCTGCAATCTACCGACTCCTGCTGTGGGCTGTTGGTGAATTGCACGCCCCCCTCCCTCTAAGACTTTGGACACTCAGTACTTGAACCGGATGCTGTGGGTTTGTGAGAGTTCTTCTGTAAAGGCTTTCCAAAAATGCACGGGTGCTTGGCTGCCTTCTAAATGTGATTCAGGCCATAAAGTGACAAAAAGTTGGCAGCATTGGCTCACTTCCTTTTCTCCTTCATCAGTTTTTTAAAAACGTAAACTTTTGCTTTGCTGCTATCCGAGCACAAGAACCTTGGAAATGGGTTGTGCGTTGCAGTGTCTGGGTGATGCAACACCGCCATTAGTGGAACAAATCAGGAACCCGTTTGTTCTCGTCAGCATTCCCACGAAAGTCCAGCCTTAGAGGCTTAAAGATGCATTTAGGCTCATCGCAGCGCCTGACCCATAACAAGGCCCCAAGAGAGTCGCTTCTCACAGCTTCTTGTTCTGTGATAGATATTACGCTGAACGTTGCAAGATCCCTTCTTGTCTGGGCTCTAAAAGAGTCAGGAAACAGCCCGTCTGCCACTCCATGAATGAGCACACAAGCTTTGGAGATTCTGCCTTGCAAGTCCGTGTGCGATGGAAATCTTTATCTTCCTGACACGAAGCTGAACTTTCCATTTCACCATTTCTTCTGAAGTTCCCTTTATTTCTTACTTATTTCTAACCCAATGAGCCACTTAGTAGAATTAATTTCCAGAATGGAACGAAAAGCACTTCTGACTTGCGGGTTTTTTATTTTTGTTTTTCATGTTTGCCGTATCCAAGCAAACTGGCTGCCTAGAGCCCTGATTTCTGGGAATAAGGTGGGGTGTAAATATCATCACCATCATTTCTATAGGAAAACCATTATTGCTGGGAAAACTTTCTGCTGCTGATCATGAGAAGATTCCGTTAACGAAGATCAAGCCCCACCTCTGCAAAGCAAGAGCACCTTTTTATCTGGGTTCTGTTTACAAGAAATAGGTCGTCCTTCCAAATTCTTTAGATCAGCGGTAAAAACGATAGTGACCATTTTGATTGTACAGGATCATACAACTAACCAGCTGACAACTTTTTTAAAAAAGTCAAATGCACTGTTCTTAATGACCATTGGGATAGGATTGGCATAAACACTGAAAGGGAAGTGAAACTCTGCGGTTTTTATGGATCGAAGGGGTGCTGCGTTATAAAATGCATAACCGGTCATGTACAGAGCCTGTTTTCTTCACTGCATAACAGTGTCCCGCAGGTGTGTGTGTTGGGGGGGTGCTTTAGTTCAAAGTGTGTTGCCTCCAGGCGTGTTTGATGGTGGCTGCATGTCTCTAACTGTGAGCAATGCTGTGGGAATTTGCCACACCTGGCAAAAGAGATATTGAGGGCTGGTGTTGTGTAATCTCTGGGCCAGATAACCGTTAGCCACAAACTTATTTGGTGCCTATATAAAGATGGCTCTCCTCTCAGGCTCTTGGGCTAGAAGGGCATGCTAATGTAGCAGAGATTCCTGGGGGAAAGCGATGGAAAGCACTTAACCTTCTGAGCTGCGCTCGGCAATACCAACTCCACCGGCACCAACTTTGCTGGCCTTAAGGCTGATGTGTTATGCCCGGATCCTTTATTTGGCAAATGCCCCATGAAAGAGTTTCTGGGTTTGTCTCGGCATGGCCTTCCCCAGCCGAGCTGCCTCGAGATGTATTGGGGCTGCGACTTCCCCAGCTCCCAGCCAGCACGGCGGTCGGTGACAGGCTTGGGTGTGCTTTTGAGACACAGTGCTGGAGGAGAGACTGAAAGAAGGACAGGCAAGGGGGTCCTGGAGCTAATTGAGCCTGGACTTTCCCTGGAAGCCAAAATGACTAAATGGAGGCTGTTGTACTCTGGGCACCTTGTGGGAAGGCCAGACTCCCTGGAGAAGACAATCCGTGCCCAGGAAAGGCAGAAGAACTAGAAGATCAGCCATAGGGGACGGCTCAGCCCCATGAAGGAAGCCCTACCTTGAGCTGGCAAGAGCTGAGCAGGGCTGCCTGGGACACGATATTCCAGAGAGGATTTATTCTTAGGCCGCCATAACTTGGGCCAACCTGAGGACACATGGCAACATCATGGCCATTGGAAGTGACTTCTGGGAACTGCGGGCCCACCTATAAGAAGATGGGGGGAGGAGCACCTTGCTGTATCTGGCCCAGGGGCCATCTCGTCCGGTGTCCTGTTGGCAAGTGATCTTCCAGCTGCTCACAGGGTTCCTCCAGACGGACCTGCGGGCAGCGGCACAAATCTGCCCGATCCAGATTGGGGTCTATCGTAGCATCCTCCGAAAGTCCACTCCCTGACTCACACTGCGCTTCGTGCAAGGGCTCCTTGCATCCTGGCTAAATCCTCTCCCACCAGTCAGCTCCATGGAATGCCCCCGTGTCCTGCCCTTAGGAGACAGGGAGGAAAACGCCTCCCACCCCACTCTCTCCTAATTCTGCACGCCACTCATGGTGTGCCTTCCCTCGAAGCCTGAGCCATCCCAGCAGCTGCCCCCTTTCCTTGTGGGAGAGTCTCTGTTTGGTGCCATCGCCACCTCTGCAGCGTCTCTGGGCAGGTGCAGCGTCCCGAACGGCTTGCGGTGTCCCGTCCGGGAGCCTTTGGCGAGGGCCTTTGCTGAGAGCCTTCGGAGCGCCCCAAGCATGCGCTGGAGGAGGGAGGCCAACATGCCTTGAAAGAGGAGGCCGTGTAGCCGCCCCTTAGAGAAACATCCCCGGACCCAGCAGCTGCCCCCCCCACATCAGCAAAGCACTGAAAGAGGCCGCGTTAGGACACTTCTGGACACTCTGGAAGGGAATGGCATGTCCCGCTCCGTTTCAGTCCAGCTTCAGGCCTGGTTTCGGGGTAGAATCGCCTGGATCAAATCCCTTCTGTGGGAGAGGGACGTGGGATGGCGTGGGGAACGCGACTTGGTTCTAGCGCGATCTTTCTCCATGAGCTTGGACCTCCTGGGAGCTGGTGGCCCCTTGCAGGGCGATTGCTCCTCCCCGAGGGTTGGGCGGCAGGGAGCTGCAGTCTGGCTGCCCCGGCTTGTGCTGCGGAGGGCCGCGGGCACAAGGCTCCCCAAAACTGGCGGCCACAGGGCATGCGCCTGCCTTCAAAGCTACCCACAGCCTATACCAAGCTGCTGGGAGCGGCAACTGGGTGGTGTGTCACCAGCGCATTGAGGTCAGGAGATTTTAGCCGGGAGGGGCTGTTCCTCTCCCTCACCAGTGTCTCCAGGAGGGCTGGCTGGATAGATCAGACGTGGATGGGTGCTTCTCCGCTCCGGGATTCAGGGAGCTTACTGGCTCCGGCCGGGGTTGCGTTCTTCCTGGAAGAGCAGGGATGTGCCTCGGAGAGGCGCCCAGATCAGTCACTGCGGTGGAAGCTCCGGGCCATGAAGCGCCTGTTCTCCCGTGACTGGCACGCCGGTGGCACATTTTCCCAGCCTGGGGTGGCCGGGCCCCGTGATTCATGCACCGGTGACCTCCTGCTGCATTCTTGTCACCCGCTGCTTGCGGAGCTTCCGCTGACGTTGGCCCAGAAGCGGGACCTGGGGCAGAACAGGATGGGACAGGATGACGTGAGCGATGGGTTATGTAGATATTCTGCCCAAAGGGAGGGAGCTGCACTGGCTTTCTGTTCCTCTCCCAGGCCACCAGGAAGGTCTTCTTGGGACCATATGAAGCCTTGATCAACCTGGGGCCACAGGACAGGCAACTCCTCCTGGGTAGGCCTCCCAGAGAGCCGTATGGATTGGGGTAAATGTTCCTGATCGTCTCCAGCATCTTTTGAAGGTGCCCCTTTCATTTAGGCTTTGTCTGATATCTGGAGCCTGCGTCTTCTTCGCACGGGTACCTTTTAAGCAGGTGTCTCAGCATTGCGGTGCAGGACTGAAGCAGGGCCTGTGCATCCTGGCGCCAGGGCTGTAGGCGCAACTGTGCCGCTGCCCTTTTCTTCCTGAGGTCTTAGCTGTTGTCCTGCAGCTCCTGCAGCACAGTTATTTGCACGAGCAAA